CTAAGGCTAGAACCCAACACAATATTCTACAACTCGGGAGAGAGATGCCGTAACCCTAATTGCAGAATATTTGAAGGTAAGTGAATGACGATTAACTAATTTCCACCACGAAAAACAAAAAAAAATTTAAGTTTTAAATCTATGAAAACTCCTAGATCCTTTGAGATTCATTGAACTTTCAATGGCATGTTTAAATCTCGATATGCCCCTCTTGTTTGTGACTGGGATGCCGAGGATCACAAAGCGGGTGTGAATAACCATGCAAATTACATGGTGCCCTCACATGTTACAGTCACCTATTCGATGTGCCGGTAAACCACACATACTCCACCGAACTATGACAAACATTGAGTCACCCTTTGCTACCTTTGCTTAGAACCATTTAGTGTGCCGGTAAACCACACACGCTCCACTAACGTCTTCGCAAGGGCACAAAGTGTAATTTCATGGAATTGCATCAATTCACTTTTGCCTAAGTAACTAAGATTGGGAATTTGAAAAACATTTAGTTACTTTGTATTTCATTATACTTATAATGGAAGGTTTCGTCCTATCCTACCCGTTCGGCTAACGACCCTCCACTAGTCAAGAGTGCGGTGGGTAAGAGTGGATACCCATTCAATCGCCATATTATAGGCAATTTCCTTAAACACCCCTTATAGACCAGCTTCGTGAATGAGGCCTACTAACGGTAAGACTGACTTTTACTCATACATATATATAATGTTAGACTTTTAATGTTATATATAGTATAGGGTGCATTTTACACTTTTAAAATATTAGGTGATCAAATTTAACAATTATACTTTTAATTCAATTAAATTGTAAACCTAAACTTTTATGGATTTATTAAACTTCTTTTAATTATACACCTTAATTGATTAATAAAACCATAAGGGTGTGATTTGAACTTTTCAAAACATTACTAGGGTTTTAGAATTTAACATTCCTAATTAAACTTTTAATCAACTTTTAAATTCCAAAACTTGAGGGCAAGTTTTGAAACATTTCAAAACAATTTAGTTTTAATCTATCTTAAAATTTCGAATTTATGACATTTAAATTAAAATTTTAAATATTAAAACTCTTGATTTAATAATTATCTTGAATTAGACTATTAATTTAATTATTAAATCATAAGGGATTATCTAAATAATGAGGATAATTACCATTTAACATTTAAGTTATCCTAATCCCTTAAATATCTATATAAATTTCGAAAATATGGATGGATAATGCAAGATCTTGAATTACAATATATAACAATTAGAGGATAATTACAAGATATGGATAATCCAAATCCCTAAAAATTAGGACCTTATCTTGGGGAAGAGGCAAATTTCGAAAATCAAGGGATTATAACAAACCCTAGATTTCGAAATTTAAGGGTTTAAGGAAAGGATTTGAAGATCTTATTCAAACTCTTGCAAATTAGGGTTTGCAAACCCTAATCTCGAAAAACCCTAGCCTCTTAGGGTTTATTGGCAATAAACCCTAATATATCAAGTTCATACAATTGAAACCAAACCAATGGCTCTGATACCACTGATGGGTTTTGGTCATAAGACATCCTATGTGCTCATACAAACCCTAATGCTTGGATCTAGGTTTCTCTATTGTACATGCTTTGAATCCAAGACTATAAACCCTAATTCTAGTATATGAAATCGATATTAACATATGAATGGGTTTAAGAACATACCTTGATTGTTATAGAGTAATAACAATCCTAATTCCTCCTTGAATTGACTTTGGAATGCTTAGAGTCACAAGTGTCACTCCTCTAATGGCTTACAAACACCAAGAGCAAATGGAGAAGGTATAAAGAGAGAGGAGAGAGGTTAGAATTCGTCCTTAGGACTCCTTGGGAACAAGTACACAAATTCTAAGGCCTTAGGGTCTTTATATAGGTGTAGAGATAGGGTTTCAGTCATTATCCTTATCTAGTTGCTTATCCACAAAGCAACCCATAAGATAATCCTTGAATCCTTATCATAGTCGAATTCTAAGGCCTTATCACCTTAAATTCGTTCAACCTAATAATAAGATAATCCTTACCTTATTTTGTAACTATCACATAATTACAAATCAGCCCCTCTAGTTTAATTAATTACACTTGATCACAAAATTAATTCCTAATTAATTATTGACCAATATTAATTAAACAAATATGATTTCTCCTTTAATATATTATTCTTATAACATATTAATAAATCATATTATCCTCTCTCTCTATATATTTCTCCAATCAAGTTGCTTTGGTGAAGGCAACCCAAAAGGACCATGCACCATCGGGTCAAGTACATACCAAAATAGTTATGGACTTAGACACTAATCCAACAATTATCATGTTGGACAGTTGCCAGGAAACGCTAAAACTCGTTATTATAGCCACCGTTTCGATAAGCTTAGTACCTAGTGTTACCCTGTCCAAATTCTCGGCTACGCAAAACACACCATATATATATATATACATACACACACACACACATATATATATATATATATATATATATATATATATATATATATATATATATATATATATCAGATAAATAATATATAATTATTAAACTCGTATAAATATAGCGTGAATAACAACACGACCGAATAGGGAGGCACCCACAACAAGAGTTATATGAGACACAATTCATCAATACGCTAATAGATTTTTGGCTAGCTCCCATCTTCTTGTGATATGTCTCCGGATTAACTCCAGGTCTTTGAGGGATGGAAGTGAAGGCCCTGAGAATCACAACAAAGGAAACAAGATCGTCAGTTTTCGTCCAGAAGGCGGTCGCAAAACGAAGCTCCGACGATCAAGTCAGCTCGTTTGTTTAAAGAGAAGGTGAAAAGTGTTAGGTAAGTGTATCAAGTTTGTTTTTTCTTTTGATCCCTTCTCTTGGAGGACAAGGGACCTTTTTATACCTATGGTTAGGTTACAGATCCCTAATATTATCTTCTACCTTTTCAGGTTTGGCAGGGATATATGGCCTTCGATTGGTAGATCATGGTCCGTGAGTGGTTGTTTGATGTTGATGTAGGTTTGTTAGGAGTAGTTTCCTGAGCGCTATACCTGTTGCTCTAGGAGGCGATTGGTACTATTTTTTCTTGACGTTGTCCTTGGAGCTTTGACGCCAAGGAACGAAGACGGATTGCGAGGTCGAGGGCGAGGACGCGCCGTTAGGCATATGTCATCCTTTGCCTAAATCATCTATCATAGTGACGGTTCCATTATGTTTGATGTATTCTTGGTGGAATACGATAAAAACTTCCCTAGGCTAGTAAAAATTAGTGTTTGCGTAGGGTAGCTGAGTTGTTCTAGCATAGATCTGGACACACATTTGGTGGGGATGGCTCTTTGACACTAGCGGTTTTCATCATCCTAACCGCTTGAACTTCCCACTTGTATTTAAAACTTCTCCAATTTGTGTCGGTTCTCCTTTTATTTTTTTTTTGCTTCTTCTCACTTCTGCTACTTCTTTACCCATTTCTCTTTGTTTCTGCTTCTTTTTTGTTTTTTGATGAGCAATGGATGTTCCAAATATCGGGATCATTCCTTCTCAGAGCGAGTTCTTTGATTTGGTTTCCTTCCTTAACATGGTATGGAGTACCTTCAAAAGGGGGCTATAATTTCTCGTCCACCGGAGGCTACCAACAATGGACTTTTTCGATGAGATAATGCGCCAGTCTAGCTTCTGTGTGGATGAATTCACTCCAAAAGTTGTCAAAAAGATTGTTGGTTTTGAACTCGTCTGTTGGACCCTTGGAGTTCTGCCATAGTTTTTGGTAATCAAACCTTTCTTCAATTCTTCTACTTAGTCTGGTGCTCAAATTTTTTCCCAAAGGCGGGGTGTAGATGCCTTCATTATTAAGAAAAAATCTCCAAAGAAGAACTATCAAAACCGGTGGCTTTGGGTAAATCCCGACGTTGCCGGTTTTGGATATCCATGTTTGACTACTTTTTTTGATCGAGCACCAAAAATATGGGGTGCCAGTGCCACTGTGGCACAAGCATTGAATACCATTTGCATCAAAGCTGAGGATTGGTAATAACGTATGTTGGCTGCAGTCTTTGTGAGCGTTGCTTGGAGGGCTCGGAGATGATGCATTAGTTGTATGTTGAGAAGGACTGTATGTACTTCTCCTCCCCTCCCCCCTCCGCTTTGATTTTTGTTTTCTTTTGTTTGCTTGTGTGTTTTGTGAACTATGTTGGATTTTTTCTCGTTTGCATGTCATGAGAGGATCCTTCCCTTTGAGACGGTGCTGAGGGGCCATTTTCAGGGTACTTGCCAATACCAAGAAGTGCCTTTGGTTGAGACACTCCCTCCACCAGTCCGTCCCGACCGTGCCTTAGCTCTTGTTTTCGTATTGTTTCTTCTCCGTCCGGGACTGTTCTCCAGTTGTTCAGGTATTGATTGATACACCTGTTGGTGGTGTTTCCGTGAGGAGCCTTTTCCTTATAATATGGAAGGGAGGAGGCATCGACCGGAATAACTTGGCGTGGCACCTGTGCATCCTCCAAACGACGACTTTCCTGGATGGATTCGCCTTTAGCATAGTCTGCTTAGGCCGGCTCCTCAGGTTAACTCCTTTTCAAGAGGAAAAACATTGACTCCCTTTTGGGGGAGGAAACTGTGGTGATTGGCATCCCCGATTATGACGCTCTGAAACAGTCGGAGGGGATGAGAGAAGGGGTGACTGAACTGCCCCGTGAAACTAAAGAGGAGCCCATAGAAACACATGCCTTTGGTAGGAGCATTTTTGATGTTGTCAGACGTTGTTCGTGAACGTGTTCCAAACTAACCAGCCCAACTTCTGATGGGGGAGAGTACTATCGAGGGTTCTCCTTCTCCTTCTTCGATAGTGCCAACAATATATGTGCCAGGGTGTGGGATAACCCAAGAATCTCGCCTTTCCCAACATGTGGTAGCATATCATTAGGGTTCCCATGTTGGTTCGTACATGCAGCTGCACAACTTGGTTCGTACATGGTGGTGATGGACTCTCACCTTCATCAAAACAATTCTAGTGCTGGTGAGCTTCCTTTGATTAAAGCTGAGCAAGATGAACTAAAAGCGAGGTTTCTAGAGTTAGAGGGGGAGAAATGATAGTTCGAGGAGCATTATGATCTTTTGGCAGGGGAGAAAGCCTCTTTGGATGACAACGTGGCTTCTTTGGATGGGTAGGTGGAATGCATTTCTCAACGGAATGAGGTTTTAGTGGAGGAGAAGGGGTTTTGGAGAGCCAGGCGGATTGTGTTAATAAGCGGTTAGAGAAGGAGAGAACAAGGAGAAAAATTGCAGAACAAGATTTAGGGTGGTTGCTTTAGAAGGGCATTGCTCGGGTGGTGGGTAAGGTTATCGAGAGTGTTGAGTTTTTGTTGGGGGTTAAGCAGATGAAAATGGCATGTCTAGCCACCGGTGTGGAGAATGGAAAATAGGCGATTCAGGTGTAGGCTGTCGCTGGAAAGTTTATCTCAAGGGAACCAAACGTTATTGTGGAACATGCTCAGGTGAGGCATGCTACTGTAAAATCTTTTATGGAGATAGACTTTGCTTCCTACCTTCCCTTAGGTGAGTTGGACATAGGAGGCCTTCCCGAATTTTATGATGATCTTGACACCAAAGAGGGTCAGCCTGAAGGTGGCTCTTCTTATACTAGAACTTCCTCCACCCCTCAGTAAGTGATGACATTTCTCCCTTTTTGGTGCTTGATGTTTATGACGTTATTTGTGTTTGTATGGTTTCTGTTGAACAACGTTTGAAACAATGTCTTATTTTCTTCCTTGGCCCTGCGTGGTTTTTCCAAATCCCGGGGGATTATCCGATTTAGACAATTTGTTCTCTTTGTTTTTCATGTGTTAAGTTTACTTTTTTATTCAATCTTGTTTCTCTTTCTTTTTGTCTTGGATGGTTTGTGTTGTCCATCCTTAGCTTGTAGTCTCCTTAGAGGTTAGTGTTGGCCTTTGGGGTCTCGGTCATGGTTATCGTTTGCTTGACAAGCTTTGGGGGACTAGAGGGTCTGTTTTGATGAAATCCGTGCTCGCCCTCAGGTTTGTCTTTGTGAGTCAATCCTTTAACTAGTCTTTTGGTGTGAACTCTAGCTGGTTTATTCTATTAAGGTGTCCTTAAAATCCTTCTCTTTGGGGCTTTGAACTATGACCTAGGCCAATGAGGGTTGTACTCCAGCTCTAGTCATCTAAACAAGACTGAGATTGTCACCTCGGGGTCTAAGAGCTCAGGTATTATCCATTTTGAGGGAAAGGTTATGATCCTTTAAGGCCTCTTACTTATCTTGATCAGGACTTGCAGCTCTCCAGACCTAGTCAACATGTTTACCAAGGAGAAGTGATAAGCCCTTCAAGCCTATGGTTGTGTTTTTCTTAATGGTTTTGGGTTGGGTGGCACGGATGATCAGTCCGTCTTTATTTTCCATTTGTACGAAAGTATGTCGATAATCAATCGTTTCAAATTTTCTTTTCATTGCATATTTTTTAGTGTCTTGGAGACATCTACATTATTATATATGTATCTAGAGTCTGATAGTTTTTTGCTATTCTAGGTCCAGCTCTTGGACTGGCTAGTTGGGGCATGATTATCCATTAGGAGTCTGATCACTTGGCCCCTTCCCTTGATTCCCCCAGGCTAAAACTACTGGCTTTGGCTTCAGGGCTCCGACGTCATCGGGGCGAATTCTTCTTCTTGGTCTTTCTTGGTTTGTGTCGTTCGACGACTCGTGCCTATGAGCTGTCTAGCATTTGTGTTCGTGTGTGAGCTGTGATTGGCTATTTCTAGGATGGTCGTCATTTGGAAGACAAGTTTCAATTTCCTCCATTCTCCAATTTTGGTTGCCTGGTTATCACCTTTGACCGGTTTTACCTCCTTCTACTTGACTTTTTGTTGATAGCTCTATTTTCTGCGAGGTTGTTGACTAGATGCCATCCTGGGGGAAGCCTCTTCTAATTGCAAAATTTTATAGTTGTGGCGTGTCTCCTGTCTAGATCTTCTTTTTGGGGCAGTTGCCTACCCTCGCTGCTCCAGTATTGGCGGTTCCTTGGTTGTGTCTCGTTCCTATTTTGCCATGCTATGTGCCCTTACTGCATGAAGGCATGTGGGTATGCTCAATGAAATCCAGCCTCTCTTGGTCTTCTTGCTGACAATCCTCGATGTTTCCAGTGTGGTAATGTTGTTGCTATCGCGCCCTTCTCCCCATGCGCTATTTTTTTAGGGTTGGCGTCCTTTACTTCTGTCTTGGGTGTGGGTATTTGTCTTTATACACTTGATCGTATGAGTGGTAATTATTATTGTGCGTCGCCTTCTTGTGATGTGTGCGGTGGCCCAAGCGGTGATCTCCCGAAGTGGTTTTTTCCCTTGTGTTTAGGGCCGTTACTGTTATCGAGCCGCTGGCTGTTTTAAACCTTATTGTACCATGTAATGTTGATGAGATAGTCTGTAGCCGGAAGAGGGCCAGTCACCCAAGGATCATATCGTCGTCTGGTCTGTTTTTAACTACCGAGAACTCGATAATCTTTGTTACAATTTCCTTTCCATCGTGGTTGAGTAGTGTCAACATGAGGTTTCTGGTCCCGAGAAGCTATAGTTTGTGTCCTGTAAAGCCTACGTATGGGGCTTAAGTTGGGAATTTTAGGTTCTTCTTCGAGGATAGCGGGTGTTGTTCGAAATAGTACTTGTAGAAGATGTCGGTGTTGCTACATCCGTCGACCAGGTCTCGCCAAATCTGATTTTGTTGGACAAGGGTGGGGATTATGATTTGCTCTATGGGATCCGAGTCGGGTGCTTGGGGGTCTTCCGGTGAGAAACTTATTTTGAGAGTATCTTCGGGTGAGCCATCGATGCCATTGGCTGTCAACCAACGCCTGGCTATGTTCCCGGGCCTGACGGTTGTGAAGATTTCCTCCTTTTTGATTGGTTGTTTATTCACCTTTTTTCGGGTTCTCCCATCTTTTAGCTCGGCTTCGAACTTTGATCGTAGAGTCTTTGTGATTTCCGTTAAATCTCCACTCAATTGCTTGTCTTATACTTCTCTTTTGAGGATTGTGCACTCTCTAGTGTCGTGAGTTTTGCTATACTGGTACTTGCAATATTTAGTTTTCTCTTTTTCCATCCACTGAGGGGTTTCTTAAACTGTGTGTACTTCCATCCTATGGCTCCTGGAATCATGTTTGACGAATGGGCGAAACATACAAGATGACTGTCTCGGATGTCTGGTATGTTTATCATGTATTCCATCGATGCGCTCTTTGTGGCTATGGCGGGAGTGGGAGTCAACTGATTCTTGTTTAAGGTAGCTATTCGCTACAACTTTTAGATTGGCTTGTTCGCGTTCTTATCCCTCAACTTGCTTGAGGTATTTTTCGACCCTGTATTTGAGCTCGTCCCTAGATTTTGGCACTATTCCCTGCATTTTCCTTCACGGGGGGCTTGGGAGTAGCCCCTCGGGGACGACGCACATGACTAGAAATCCCTCGTGACCGGGGATGCTCAAGGTCACGAGGGTAAACCGGTCATAGTATGCTCAGATGGATTCTCCCATATTTCGTTTGCATGCCATGATAGAGGTTGCTCCTCCTTTGACATTCCTAAACTGCATAAATTGTGGAGGAAAAGATACGTTAACTATTCAAAGCTGGAGATACTTTTTGGACATATTGCCTCGAACCATTTTCTTGCATTTCCTGATAGCGTGACCGACAAATAGGTGCAGGTAAGTCTCTTATCCATCCGAAGGGATGTCATTGTCCACTCGTAGGTGCCTATGTGTTCAGCAGGATCTGTCATGCCGTCATACTTTGGGATGTTTGGGATCATGGCAGAATGTGGTATTTCATGCTGTAATAACTCTTCGTAGAATGCCAAGCTAATACTTGTTACGGGGATGTATAGATCTATACTAGATTGACACATCAACATGTGGTTGCTAGCTAAAACCCAATGGCAAGTTGAAGCGAGCATAAGTTTTTAAACACATAGCAACGTTCGATAAAGCATCGTGGTTTATAGGATCAACAGTCATACCTCGATGGTAAGAACTGACTGTAACTTTGTTAAATGGAGACTAAACTATCATATACTACCAATATATTACGTAGTGATAGTATACTCAAGCTTGAGGAAAGGAGTTTGGAATACAGTCATTAAACACATAGCAACGTCCGATAAAGCATAGTGTGGCCGATTGGTATCCTAGCTTAAGGCTTATAGCGATTTATTAATTCTTTAGGAAATACAACTATACACTACCGATAGACTACTTACAAGAGAGGTTACTAGTTTGAAGTATCACTTGGATTGCTGAATTCCTGAACGAATATATGGTAAAATGGTCCTGTCCATTGGTACTTTTCACATGGTTGATCCTTATTTGATAGTTTTGAAGTGAAAAACCAAAACTTAATGAAACAAACAAATCATGATTTTAAGCACCCTAAATAAGTTTAATAGTACATTGGCCAAGATAAGACTACACGTAGAAGTGATCAACTATGTTGTATTTTAGATGGGTCAAATGCACTACTAAACCTAAATATGGCAATTAATCAAAAGCTTAAACAATCCAAAAAGGCATTAAACAAATACAAAGATGAACCAATAAAGATATATATATATATATATATATATATATATATATATATATACACACATATATACACACACACACACACAATACCACATAGATACATCATAAAGTGATCTACCAAAAAAGGAGATCGTATGTGAGAGTTACGAAAAAGTTTAATATTATAGTCACACACGCTCACGCACACCTCACACTTGATTTTTCGAGATATGGAGCGACATGGCACACTGAGAGGACAACAAATGGCATCATCGTATGGTTCGCATGCATATTGCACGACGCGCAATGCATGACGTGCAGCCTAAAATACCTATAAATAACAGGTTTCGGTTGATCCCTTCTCACACCTAAACACACCTCTCTCACTAACTATTAAAATTTGTTTCAATAACTCCCAAGCACCTCTCTAGTGCCAAACTAGTGGTTTTTCTAAACTACATCAATGGTATCATGAAATACATGTGAGTTAATGACCCTGTTTCCAAATCTTTTCACTGGGGGGGGGGGATATATCTCCAAGATGCAAATTTACATAGTTATTATTAATTCTAGTTAGTTAATTATGCTCATAACATAGGATGATATTTTTCCCAATAGAAACTCTTCCCAAACTCTTTAGCTAATATTATGTCTAGTTTTTATACTAAACCACAATGATAGATAGAATTATACCTACTTGTCACATTGGCTAGTTACCAAGAAATGTTGAAACTCATTATTATAACCATCCTTTGGATAAGCTTAGTACCTAATGTTACTCTGCCCAAATTCTTGGCAATGCAAAACACTATAATATATATATATATATATATATATATATATATATATATATATATATATATATATATATATATATATATCAGATAAATAATATATATAATAAGTAAACTCGTCAAAAAAATAACAGGGATAACAACAAGACCAACGAAGAGAAGCCCCTACAACAAGAGTTAGATGAGACACGATTCATTAACATGCTGATAGATTTTCAGCTAGATCCCGGCCTATAATCGTTTAATCTTAAGTGAGCGAGAGATATATGTATAGATCTATACGGGATTGACACTCCCACCTGTGGTTGCTAGCTACAACCTAAAGGCAAGTCGAAGTAGACATAACTTTGTAAACAGATAACAACATCTAATGAAGCGTCTTGGTTTTCGGGATCAATAGTCATAGCTCAATAATAGGAAATCATCATATCTTTGTTAAACTAAAACTAAACTATCATATACCACTAATACATTACGTGGTGATAGTATACTCAAACTCGAGGAAACGAGTTCGAAATACACTCATTAAACTAAAAACACACTATTCTTAAGGAAAGCCCTGAGAAGTAGTGGTAGAAAAGTAATATTAGGACTATATTTCTAGAATACTACCAAAACACTAGAAAATACGCTAACACACTAATATAAGTTGAGGATACAACGAGAGCTAACTTAACAACTTCGACAAATTACTTTCACACTTACCAAATCTATGAACTCACCAACATTATGTTGACCCACTTAAAATCACATGTATTCCTAGGTCAACCAACAGAAATAAAAGACTATCCAATCAAAGAGTACGAACGACTCTCAAACTATCAAAGAAGATGGTGATTAAGGCAAAAATCAATATGAAAGGCCTCTTCCATCAAGCCAACATTTTGAAATGTTGTGTCGCTCGTTGTTTCCACCACCTGGTCGAGGGTGTGACAACAAATATATATGATTATACTTGAAAGGTTAGTAATCCTCTCACTTTTTATAATTCAAATTCATAGTTTTAAAAGTATGTTGCTATAATACTAAATCCTCGATCTGGAGTATATGTACACTTAGGATTAGTTTTGAATACTTTTGTTGCCTAAATATAGTGTATAGATGCATAGAAAACCCAACACTATAGGCACACAACTATCATCCAACCTGCCGGTAGGAACCCAATCAACAACCCTCACTACCCCTACCAATTAATCAAACATTCCTTGCAAAACTGACAGTTATTGCGGATCAACCACAACCTTACATACGTACTCCATCAACATCCACACATTCTCATCAAGACAAAACTCAATCCCTCTCGCGGCATCCTACTAAAGTCTTGAATTATATCACCATATGGTCTAAAAATTGAAAAACATCAACCCACTAATGGAAACATTTTCATAGGCAACTGAAACAAAGTTCCTGTAACACCCTCAAATTGAGGCTACACATATAAAGGTATAATAATAATTTTTATTAAACATTTTTCGATCAATCAAAATCCTTGAATAGGGTAATTGTGTTTCGTGCGTATTACGAGCTAATAACAATTATCGTATACACGATACGTAAACAAATATTATTAGTGTATAATATTTATAGAAAACCTTAATATAAAATTTATCGTTAAGCTTTAAAACAAAAGTGTAAAAATAAAAGGTTATTTAGGATAAATCATCTTAACAAAATTTTTAGTAGTCATGATCACGAGCTTGTGTATATAAAGAAGGCTTAATATGACTTCATATTAGGAAGTTATGATTTATCTAAGTTCCGCGTTTAACCCGATACGACAACATGTGTCATAAAATATGGGTCGGAGATAGGTTGCTTAGTAGCCTAAGTTATCTAAATGAAATTCGTGGTAATCAAAATGACGAAAACGTGTATATAAAGAACGCCTAAATCTGACTTCGTATGAGAAGTTTATGATTTTTTAAAGTTTTGAGTGTGACATAGTATTGTAGTGTGCGACACATAAATCAAAATAAAAAGTGGTTGATTGTTAATGTAACATCCCCTTTTTCAATCCAAAGTTTTTATTTTTATTTATTCAACATATTCATTTACATCGGAGCATTTATTAGATTATGCGGAAACATTGTAACATTTCGATGGAGAGGTATTTACAAATTTTTCCCTAAGTATGAAGATTTATTGCATTTTAGCCCTTGTGTATGGAAAAGTTGCAAAATATCCCATAGTTGCAATTTTGTTATATTTAGGGAGACGTATGTGGTGAGGTCCCAAACCCTAAAATTTTGGGGTTCATACTTTT